TTTCTGCCTCAGGGCCTTTGCACTTGCTCTCCACTGGGACCCTTTCTTCTCAGTTTAGTTCTGGCTGGATTCTCCCAAACATTCAGATCTCATTTTAAAAGTCACTTTCTGCTGGGTATGGCCAAGCATCCAGTGGGTGGCACCTATAACCCCAGCACTCAGGAGGTAAGGAGGATTTCCATGAGTTTTAGGCCAGCCTCAGCTACATAGCTTGAGACCTTGTCTCAAAAAAAAGTCACTTCCTCCCAGCCACCAGATGGATAGAAAGCCCTCCCTTGTCCTCGTATGTCACACTCATCATATTTATTGTCTTTACAGTGCTCTGCCCAATCTGGAAATTCTCTGGCTTTTTGTCTGTCCCTGCTTCCTGTGTAGAAATGCCAGCTGGCATTTTATCTTGCTCTTTTTTTTGGGTACCGGGAATCCAGCTCAGGACCTCGTGCTTGCCAGGCAGGAGCTGCCTCTGAGCTGTGTCCCAGAGCTTTTGTTCTTTGCAGCACTATATCATTGCCCACATTGCATGGCTGCACATAGCAGATCTGCAATAAATATCTGTAAAGCCAGGCCTGGTGGCACATAATAATTCCAGCCCTCTGATAGCTGAAGCAGGAAGATCACTACAAGTTTGAAGCCAGCCTGGGCTACATAGGGAGTTCAAGGCCAGCCTGATGGAGCATTTGCAATCTGTCAGGCTCATGCATGCAGGTCTTTTCATTTACTTCCCTCTGTACCACCCACTTTACAGGTGAGGAAGCCGAAGCTCACAGTGATGTCCCTTGCTCAAGAGCACATGGACAAGCTTGGCGTGGTGGTGCGTGCCTGTAATCCCAGCACTCAGGGGGCTGAGGCAGGAAGATTTTTGCAAGTTCGAGACCAGCCTGGGCTACAAAGTGAGCTCACAGCCGGCCTGAACTGCATGGCGAGACCCTGTCTCAAAAAGACCAAAAAAAAAGCACATGGACAGCAAGGTGTCTACATCAGCCAGAGCCAGTTGGAAAATGTGGCTTGGCTAGGAGTCAGGGAACCTGTCCCCTGCATCTGAGCACCCTGAGATCTAGCTCTGTGACCACAGGAACGTCGTGAGCCCCTGGGCCCAGGGAAGGGTCCTGACCGGGTCTTGGCGGGAAGGTCACTCTGCTTTATGTGCTCGATGGCTGCCCGGGCCTTGTCCTCCAGGGTGCTCCCGAACTCCTTCAGCTTGGCCGGGAGGCCCTCCAAGGTGCTGGTGAAGTCTGGGGTGGCCTGTGCTGGGGCCGGGCCTGCCGGGAATGAGTGGACAGAAACGTCAGTCATCTGAGAAGTCTTGGGGGGTCTGGGGATGGACAAGGCGATCCTGGAATGTGATTCTCGGGGAGCGACGGAATTAGGCGGCAGGAGGGCCCCGGCGGGGGTGTCCCATGGGGCTCAAGCTGCTGGGTGTTTTCCCCAGCACCGCATCCCTCCGGCCTGTAAACGTCTGGCGAGGCGGGACAGCCAGTCCCAGACGGGTGGGCGGCATCTGCCACCAGTGGCTAGAACTCCTCTGGCCGACCTGCTGTCCGCGGAGCTGACCTTTGCCAATCTAGAAGCCCGCCTGGCAGGGTGAAGCTGCGGTCAATCACAGGAGAATAGGGGAACAGGGACCCAGAAGGGCCCCCGGAGCTCTCAAGGATCTGCTAACGCTGGCCCAGGCCAGCTTCGCACTCCCAACCCTCAAGCTTCCTCACTCTTTTGTGCTTTTTTTTGTTTTGTTTTGTTTTCCGGTACCGGGACTCGAACTCATGACCTCGCGCTTGCCAGGCAGGCGCTGTGCCGCTGAGCTAAATCCTCAGCCCCCTTTTGTGCTTGTCTGTTTGTTGTGGCCCTGGGATTGAACCCAGGCCCTCCACACCGATCTGCACCCCAGGTCCTTTTCTATTGTATATGTATGTATTTTTGTTTTGTTTTGATTTTTGAGACAGGGTCTACAGAGCCCAGGCAGGCCTAGAACTCATGAGAAGCCTCCTGCCTCAGACTCCCAAGTGCTGGGATTACAGGTGTGCACCACCACGCCTGGTTTATATTTTATATTTTATATTTTGAGACACGGTCTTTTTAAATCACAACGGTGCCCAGGCTGGGCTCCAACTTGCAATCCTCCCGCCTCAGCCTCCTGGGCAGCTGAGGCTTCATATCCCACTCTTACCTTCCAAAGCCATGAACAGGATGAGTCCCAGGACGGGCAGCGACAGGAAGAGCCTCATGTCTACAGAAGGTACTCTGGGGGAGGCGTGGGGATCAGTGGGCTGCGCCCCTCCCCACCGCGCCCCCCAGCCCGCTCTTTAGCTCCTCCGCCCCGCCCTCCTTGCCGGCGCCCAGCACCCACCTGGACCTGTGGTCCGTGCAGCAGCTCAGTGGAGCAGCGTGGCGGGTGCAGGGCATTTATCCGCCTAAGAGGGGGTGGGGCACCCCACCTCCCTCCCTCCCAGCCGGCCCGCGCCCACCTTTCCCACCTCCGACCTTTACCCTGGGCCCCGCGGGCGGCCCTTGCTCAGCACCCCACCCCCACCTCCAGGACTGCGACCTCAGCCTGCCCAGCCCCTGTGTCCCTCAGGGACAGCCCCCACCCTCTCCCTGCTTTCCAGGGGCTCTCAGTGACAGCCCTATGGGTCTCATCCCCAGCTCCCACTGGGTCTCCAGGCCACCTCTTCTCTCTTTTTCTTTTATTGAGACGTCTCATGCAGTGCAGGCTGGCCTTGCACTCACCAGGAAGCCAAGACTGGCCTGGAACCCATGGCGACCGGGGATCCTTCCCACCGCCTGTGCTCTGGCCTCCCAGGCCTCCCATGATGCTCTCTGGGGTCCTAAACTCCTGCACCACCCGCCACCTGCCACTGGGGATTGAACCCAGGGACGCTCTGCCACTGAGTTCCATCCTCAACACCTCTTAGTTTTTATTTTTTGAGACAGGGTCTCCCGATATTGCCCAGGCTGAGCTCAAGCTTGTAATCTTCTTGCCTCAGCTTCCTGGGGTTACAGGCACACATCATGGGCCTGGCTCTGGGGTCTTATTTCTTCCTAATTTTCTTTTCTGTTTTCATTCACCGTACATAATGAGCCCCTTCACCGCGGGGGGTCAGTGCATGTCCATAACACGACTTACTTCTTTTCCTCCCCTTCTACTCTGGGCTGTGCCCTGCGGGTTTTTTTTTTTTTTTTTTTTGTCTTTTTGAGACAGGGTCTCTATATGCAGCTCAGGCTGGCCTTGAGCTCACTTTGTAGCCCAGGCTGGTCTCGAACTCGCAACGATCCTCCTGCCTCAGCCTCCTGAGTCCTGGGGTTACAGGCGTGCGCCACCACGCCCGGCCAACATGCCCTGCGTTTTCCACGCCCCTGTCTCCCTTCTCTCCATCCTCATCTTGGAGGGGGCAGGGCTGTGTCTCATACCCCTGTCTGAACTGCAGAGGGGGAGCACAACCCTCCCGCTGTGCGCCTCCCCCCACCCCCTCTGCCCGGCCCCTTCCTGGCTCCCAGCCCCCAAGCACATCTTTCCCGAAGGCGCCTCTGACCGCCAGTGACCCCGCAGCTGGTGGGGAGGGTGGCTGGCCACCGCGTGCCAGTGCAGGGGTAGAGGGTGGTTGTGAAAGGGACTGCACAGAGGCCAGCCTGGCAGCATTGCAACACGCCTGGGTCGCCTGGGCCGACTCTGCACTTCTAGTCCCTTTGGGCCCCCGGCCGGACAGCTCTGCTTCCTCCTCAGAGCCCAGCCCGCTCCCCAGACATCCAGGCGGTGTAATTTTTCTTTTCTTTTTTTTTTTTTTTGAGACAGCATCTCTTTACATATTTTGGGCTGGTGTTGAACTCACTATGTAGCCCAAGCTGGCCTCAGACTTCAGGTGATCCTCCTTCCTCAGCCTCCCAAGTGCCAGGATTACAGGACTGCACCACCACGCGTAGCTCCGATGTCCTGACCTCCATAAGATTAGAGTAGCAACTCCCGTTTTGCCGGTCTCACCCTCTCTCAGCCACATGGGTTTCCGGTTTATGGATGGGGAAACTGAGGCACAGAGAACATTCTAGGCTTAGTGAGAGGTGAGAGGTAAGGGAGGGCTCTTCTCCCTCCCCTTCCCGGACTCCTGGCTGTCTCTCTGGAGATCCCTGCTGGGGTCAGCACTGCCCACCCCACCTGCAGCACCCCCGCCAGCCCCCGTACCTGACTTCCTCCCTAGCCCTCTCTCACCTCCCTTGAGGCCTGACTGGGGCTGCTGCAAGGTGCCCCCCCCCCACGTCTGCTTACAGTTCACCACAGCTGGGCACAGTGCCACAGCCTGAAATCCTAGCTATTGTGGAGGCTGAGGCAGAAGGATCGCAAGCCTGAGTCTAGCCTGGGCAATTTAGCAAGACTTTGTCTCAAAAGATAAAAAGGGCTGGGGGTGCAGCTCAGTGTGAAGGCTCTGGGTTCACGCACGCACGTGTGAACACACACATACCTGCACACACGCACGCACGCGCTTCTCTATTCCTGAGTATGCAAGATTTACCACTTAAAGGGCTGAGGCTGCCGGCTGCCTTCCTCATGGACACTGGGGAAACTGAGGCTTGAGTGGGGGTGGCCTGGGGCCTGGTCATCAGCCCACTGGGGCTGCAGCCCTGTGAGTCATCTTGGGGAAGGGAGCCGCCTCCACGCAGGTGCCTGGAGCTTGCCAGGAAATCGCAGAGCTCCAGCTGAGCCAAAGGCAGCAGGGGCCAGAGCAGGCCCCCAGACTCAAGCCCCGGCCTGCCCTGGGCTGAGAACTGAGGGGGTGGGAGGGGAGCGAGCAGGATGCCAGGTGCGCCTCCCTGAGCCCCCGCTCTCAGCCTGGCCCGCCACCAGGTGCTGACTCCTGTGTCTCCCCAGGCCCTGGGGCCACCTCAGGCAGCCAGATCCAGCACCTTGGAGGGGCACGGGGAAGACAAAGGTGGACAACAGCATGGCACGAGGGTGCGTGAGGATGCTACCCCGGCTCTCTGGGAGGCTGAGGCAGGAAGAGCCCAGGTGCAGACGGGGTTACGTAGCAAAACTGTCCCAAATAACAAAGTGGGCAGCACAGCTAGAGAAGGTTGGAGAAGCAGGATGAGGCCGAAGTGTCGGGGGCGATGCGGTGCCCAGCCAACCGGAAGGAAGGAGAGGCAGTGGTGGAGCGCACAAACCCCGGCAGGAGGGAGGGGCGAGAGAAAGCAAGGCTGGGCAAGCACAAGGCCCGGGGCAGGAGAAGCGTAGGAGGGAGAGATAACAGAGTGCAGGAAAAACAGCCGTGGAAAAGGAGCCTGAAGGGGCGGGAGGAGGGAGACCGTGAAAAACAAGGCTCTGCTCGGGGTATTTCAGGTCAGTGACTTTGCAGCAGGTGTTACGATGGGAAAACTAGCCGGGCATCCGCCTGTAATCCCAGCTGCCCGGGAGGCTGAGGCAGGAGAATAGACAGTTTGAGGTCAGTCTGGCCAACTGAGCAAGAGATCCCTGTCTCAAGAAAATGTAAATATTAAAAAAAATTTTAAAAGGGCTAGGGTAGCAGGGCCACTGGGGATGTAGTTCTGTGTGAAGGGCCCGGATGTTGTCTCCACTACTGCAATAGCGAGGCCGGGTCTGTGCCAAGAACCGCGAGGCAGGGGCACTTTAGCTCGGGGCAGTCTGCTCTGTCCGAGATGGAAAGGGAAGAGGAAGGCGAGAGAACAGAAGGCGTCAGAGACAGAAAAGTGGGTACTTGGAAAGGACCTGGGCCAAGCAGCACGTGCCCGTAATCCCAGCCGCCTGGGAGGCTGAGGTGGGATAGCAAGTACCCAACAAACTAAGCGAGATAGTCTCTTTTTTTTTTTTTTTTTTTCCGGTACCGGGAATTGAACTCATGACCTCGTGCTTGCAGGCAGGCGCTGTGCCGCTGAGCTAAATCCCCAGCCCCTAAGCGAGATAGTCTCAAAAGCAAATAAAATAGGGCTGAGGATGTAGCTCAGCGGTACAGTGCCCAAGGTTCAATCTCCAGTACTGCAGGAAAGAAAGAACTGGGGATGTGTGTAGCACAGTGGAAAGGCCTTGGGTTCAATCCCCAGTACCATAAGTAAATAAATAAACAAACAAAATTTAGAGCACTTGGGAGGCTGAGGCAGGAGGATCGTTGCGAGTTCAAGATCAGCCTGAGCTACCATGTGAGCTCAAGGCCAGCCTGAACTGCATAGTGAGACCCTGTCTCAAAAAAAAAAGGACCAGGTAATCAAATTTGAGAGCTGAACCAAAAGCAGGAAGATTCCCCCCAACCACCACCAATGAAGGCCACAGTACCAGGAGCCACGTGGCCACTGTGGGTAAGGAAAGAGACTGAGGCAGATTCACAAAGAATCACACTCGGAAGCACAGCTGCGAGGCTCGGTGAATCTTTATTAATCGAGGCCCCTCCAGGAGGCCGGCAGGGGTGGGCACAGGGCGTGAGGCTGGCTGAGGGGCGGGGTTGGGTCGGGCTGGGTGCTGGGTGCTCAGGGCTTCTGGCTGGGCGCGGGGCTGCTGGTGCCCACGGCCACCTGCACCTTCTCGATGAGATCGGCCCACTGGCGCCGCATGTCTTCCATCATGGGCTCGAACCAGCCCTTGAGGCGCGCGTGGAAGGCCTCGGCCTGCTCCTCCACCTTGAGGCGCACCTCCTCCATCTGCTCGCGCACCTCGTCCAGGCGGTCGCGGGCCTTGCCGCCCACCTCCTCCAGCCGCCCGCGCAGCCGCTCGCCCCAGGCCTGCGCGC